TCAGAACGTATACTTATCACTCCATCACTCCAACCATCAACGTTGTTTACTAATGTGTCTAACATAAACATATTTTTATTTGTCAGTCAGAGCACTCTTTGTAATTATATAAAAATTTTCTATTTTTGCCGATTTGTCAAAAACGAGTGGACTAAAATCAAGTGTGTTACATCATTGTAATCAAAATAAGATATTCTATTAAGCACATATATAATATAGAGGACATTTTAAAAAATAAGATGTAGTCTTGTATGTCAGAAAATTGATGGTGTTTTGTTTTAAACGTCACTTGGAAAAAAACTTGGCTACTAACCCGACATTTGGTTTTTGTTTGATTGCCTTGATATCTCTATAAACAAAAAAGTTACCGTCAACTAAAATGTTATCGAGATAAATTGAACGTGCAGTACTGTTATTAATAAAAAAAATTGACGAATTTTAAAAGGAATTCACAACAAAAATTAAAAATGCATAGGGTATACTTTAAATAATTTTAAAATGTGCGTCCCAACAATTTCTACAAAATTTGTACATGTTTAAAAATCAAGGCATTTTTCAAAATTCGTTAATTTAACAAGCAAGTAGAGTCTCATGAGTTATTGTAAACTCCAGTTAGAGCAGTTGTGCAATTACGTCACGTATTGTTGCATGTCAGTGCCCAATATTAGGTACGGTAAATTAGGTACAATTAAGGAGCACTGGGAATAGGTGGAATATTTCAAAAATTTCTTTAAGAAAAATCGGAATATGGACGGCATAAATTATTTTATCTTTTGCAAATTTAACTTGTAAGTTTGCTAACTGATAATAATTATTTTGATTTTCAAAAATTAGAATTTGACCATAGAGAATAGTCAATTCAAAAATTATTTGTTCTAATCCAGCCGCCGATATTACTGCAGGATGTAATGTGTTTATTTTCGCAAAAGTAATGGCATTTTATAAATTATCCAAAAATGTTATAAAACTTTGGCAATTTAGAATTATTTGCATTAGTATATTTTGAGCTTTAATAAAAGTAGTAATGTCACTAATAGTTTTATTTATTAAAAAATATCTTTATGTTTTTTAATAGCTTCTTGATTTTTCTGTAGAAGTATTATACTGTCATTATAGTTGCCGATCAGCTGTTGAATGAACGAGTTTTGCTTTTTTAGTTGGATGTCAGATGAATGTTTACATCGGACGAGATCTGTAATGATGCTATCATATTTTTGTTCATCCTCTGAATCGAGATTGCCAAAAAGCCATTTCGATAATTTACCTACAGCATTTATTAAACCTCTTTCTGTACGGTTATTAGGTTTTATATATTTGAATTTTACTTGCGTAATTAAATATTGAATATTATTAATTACATTATTTCCATTAATATAGTGTACATTCTGATAATTATGTTCATTTGTATAGTTTAGTGATTTTGAGATTACAACGTAAGCGTATTCTAAATTACTTAATTGATTAAAAAGTGGAGATGTTTCTACAAAATGCAAAAATGTATGTTGATATTGAATTATTCGAGCATTTCCTAAGCGCAAGGGGAGAAGTGGTGTTTTAATTGGGATAACTTCAATATCATTATTCGCTATCACTAATAACAGCGTAGCTGCAAGACGGAACAGCGTTGTCCGGTTCATTAACCTGCGAAGAAAAAGCTTTAGGTTTTTGGATCTGAGATTTGTGAATTATTTTTTTTATTTTTTGTGATTTATTCCCAATATCTTGATCTATAATAACAAATTTTCTTCGGGATTTGTCCTTACTACGTTTTGCTGTTTTGTCAGTTATGTAAACCTTTGTATTATGTTTCATTTCAGGTGGGTTTTCTCGTGTTTCGTTTTGTTTTTCATTTAAACGTATTTTTGTCGCTAACGGTGTTTCGTAAATTTGTCGATAGTTTTTAATCTTTCGCGTCTATCTGCGATGTAATTACTCACAATCCGTTAAACCAAAGGGATATAAACCGTTTACTTTTCCATTTATAACATCAAAAGATTTTTGTTTTGTTACGCTATGGATTGATGAATTTTAACCTATAATTGCGTATTTCATTAAAATTTTAGGTGCTTCTTTAGGTTCTTTTAATTTTAGTACAGTATATAGTTCAACAAGAGTAGAGTGAAATCTCTCTATTGGACTATTACTATTAGAATTGCCAGGAGTTGTAAAATAAAATGTAATTTTATGCAATTTACAAAAATCTAAAAGCAAAGACGTTTTAAATTCCTTACCATTATCACACGTTATTTGTTGAGGTAGGCCGTGATGACTTATAAAGGTTGCTAAACCGTCTAAGATAGCAATTGCTATGCAAGCGGGTTCTAACGGATAGGCTAGAGCGTACCGTGACCGTTTGTTTTTTGGTTAAATATTATTTGATAAGAATAAGTGTTTAAAATATTTTCGGTAATTGGTATATTCAAAATAGGATCTTTAGCTGCTGAGTGTATTGTCCCAATAGTATTAGGAATATTTGGCGGTCTAAGATTTAATGCTTCTAGAAATTCTGGCGTGTGTTCGATGGTCGCTCCTTTCTTTAGGCAATTTGTGAATGGCTTGGTGAGTTTTGCAAATCCACTAATAAATCTTCTATAGTATCCTAGAAGACCTAGAAAGGATTTTATATCTTTTGCTGTTTTCGGTACAGGAAATTTCTGGATTGCAATAATTTTCTTGGGATTCGGTTTAATTCCGTTTTTTGTTATTATGTGACTCAAAAATTCCACTTCGGTTCGTAGGAATTCCGTTTTATCTAGTTGAAATTTTCGTCTGGCTTGTCGCAGTTTTTGAAAAACGAGTTTAAGATGTTTGATGTGTTCTTCTAAGGATGACTAAGGAAATACTATGATGTCGTCCATATATACCAGGCAAACCTTTCCCTGTACATCACGCAAAACATTATCCATGACGCGCTGGAATGTCGCGGGGGCATTTTTCAATCCAAAAGGCATTCCAACAAACTCAAAATTATCATTATCAACACTAAAATCTGTTTTCTAAATTGATTCGGGATCCATTTCGATCTGATGAAAAATCTATCGTTGAAAAATAATTACACCGTCCCAATTTAGCGAGTATATCATTTATATTAGGCGATGGATAGCGGTCGTCTATCGTTGTTTAATTTACCTTGGAAAGTCACAAACAATCCTCCATTTCTGCTTGCCCCTGGTGTCAGGCTTCTTTGAGACTACCCAAATGGGGCTGCTCCAAGGGCTTTGGCTGTGTCTAATGATTCCGTCGTCTAACATTTTGTTAATTTGCCGTTGTTTATGCATATAGGGGTATCTATATGATTTAGTGTATACAGGCAATTCGTCCGTTGTTCTTATACAATATTTGATTTTATTAGTGAATGTTAACTTTTTGCTTTCATGATGGAAAATATCGTGATATTCTTTACAAAGCCTTATTATAGCAGATTTTTTCTCTGAATTTAAATGTTCGCATTTTGGAAATGTCGCATTTACTAAATTGTTCTTTATGTTTTGATAAGATGTGTTCTAAATTAAAAAGTTCAAAATTTTCTTCATAAAAGTCCGGAAAAGATAAAACATTTAGAGGTTGTGGGAAATTTAAAGTTCTATTTTTCTCTTTTCTGTTTGCGCAAAACCGTTTTTGCAGTAGTAAGTGTTTCTGGAAAATAGAGACCTTCAATGACTTGCTCGGGAATAATAACATCATTGTTTTGTGTTACTGGAATTCTTAAGTTAACAATTTTTCGTGTGCGTTCACAGTAATATTTCGTTTTGTGGTTTTCTAAATTAAATTGGTATATTAGTTTTATTATTCCTTAATTGCTCATTGACCAAACCGATAGAAAAATTAAAAAGTTTTAGGTCGTTTAATCCTATCATACCGTCAAAAAATTTATTAAAGTTAAAAAGAATAAAAGATAGGTTGGTATTAGCCTTTAATTCTGGGAAAGCCGGAAAGCTTTAAGTAGTTCCTGTTTTAATAATTTTTCTGTAATGGAAGGTCGAAGAATCCAGTGAAAATAACCAGTATCAATTAAAAGTTTAATTGCGGGTTCTTTAATCTGCATGAACGGTAAACTGTTTTTCAGAGATTTGATTTTCGATTTCAGAGTGTTCGTCAAAATTTTGAGCGTCATTAAAGTATTCAATTTGATTTGAAAATGCAATTTCAGAGTATTCTTCTAGGTTAATATTTTCATTTTGAAATACCGCAGATGTTTCATCTGTTTGTACCGCGTTACTTTCGTCTGTTTGGTATAATTCTTGCGAAATAAAATTTCTAGGACCAGTAGGTTTGAAATGGTTAATTTGATTATTTTGACGTGGTATAATATAGTTTGTTCTTGTTGACATAGGCTTGGGTTTATTGTTAGGTATCCGACCTGTCGGTTTAAATACGTTTTTGGGTGGGCCAAAAACTTGCCTATGTGTAGGAAAATTTCTTGGAATTTCGCGTGGTTGAGGCATATTAATTGGACCTCTGGGAAAATTATTAGTTTGATGAGTAAACTGATTTTGATCATGCCTAATTCTAAAATTTTGGTTATGGTGATTGTTGTTTTGAAAATAATTTGTGGGGCGAATCTGTTGTACATAATTAAAATTTTGGTTACCAAAATAATTTGGATTTTGTGAAAATTGTTTAACGGGTTCGATAGAAATATTAGGCGAAACTTTTGATTGAATTGGAGTTCTAAAAATATTTTGTGTATATTTGGATAATGTGTATAATTTGGACCATAGCTAATTCTATACAGCTCCATCAGACACTTCCTGCTTGAAATACTGCATTTTTCCAACAAAATCCTTAAACTTAAATTGCTTGTTCATAAAAATGATATTGTTTCAAGTATGGAGACAGTAAATACTTACGTTGTGTACAGCGTTTAAGGGTAAAAGCGGTTTGCCCGCATTTTTTCTAGGGTGAAATAATCCACAAGTTTTAAAATAAGAGCCTGGCTCTTTTTCACCAAATCGTTGGGTCATTTTGATCTTGACGCAGCTTTTCATGGGGATTTCCAGGTTTCGATACGTCCGCGACCACGCTGACCTTTGTCCTTTACGAGCTGGCCAAACATCCCGACGTCCAGGAAAAGGCGAGGGAAGAAGTCCGCGATTTTCTTAGCAAACACGACAGCGAGCTAACGTACGAAGCTATCCACGATATGACTTACCTGAGTCAAGTGATCTCAGAAGCGCACAGGCTCTACCCGCCCGTCCCCACCCTATCCAGGGTCTGCATAAACGATTATAAGATCTCCGGATCCGACGTCACCATAGAAAAGGGCACGCCCATCGTGGTTTCCGTTTTGGGTCTCGGTGCCGATCCGGAGTACTTCCCGGAACCGAACAAGTTCGATCCGGAAAGGTTCTCGCCTTCCGGATCGACGAAGAACAACACCAGCGTGCACATGCCGTTCGGTTTGGGACCACGCAATTGTATAGGTAAAATTATATTATGTATAGTACAGTAAAAGCTCATTGTTCGCGCTTTCTTCATTCGCGTTTTCACTATTGGCATGTTAAAAAAAATCGACTTAATATATTCAGGGCTAAAAATTTCTTTATTCGCGGATCTAATAAGTACATGGTACTAATAATCGTCGCTTTTTTATTTACAGATTGGTAAAACGAAGTTACATTTTCTTAAATAGAACTCCCTACATTTTATTGCATTTTTGGATAGCCGTTTCAAAGACTCATTCAACTATATATGAAATGGGTCTGTGATGCACCGTTTCGAACATAGTACGGGTCTCTGACTTACCGTTCTGGGTTAATTGGCAATTAGTTGCCAATAATACATTCTTTTATGTTCATAATTTAAGAATCTCGTAAATAATAATAATAAATAAATCTGAAATAAAAGAAAAACTTTAAAAAATAGTCATATTCTTAATAATATAGACCACATGTCTTAAAAAATATGTAGAAACCGGCCTGTTGAAAGATCATCAATCATTAATCAGCCCTCTGCGTGCACTGCTGGACATAGGTCTCCCCTAATTGAGTTCATACTTCTCTATCTTGCACACTTCGGATCCAGTTTTTACAAATTTTTCTAATGTCATCTGTCCAGCGAGTTGGTGGTCTCCCTTTGTTCCTTCTGTTAGGTCTGGGCCTCCATTCCAGTAATCGTTTTGTCCACCTGCCATCCTGCATGCGAGCCACATGTCCAGCCCACTTCCATTTAAGTTTTGCTATATATACGACCACATCGGTCACGCCTGTTTTTCTGCGTAGTTCTTCATTTCTAATATGGTCACGTAAGGAAACACCAGTCATGGATCTCTCCATTTTACGCTGCGTTATTTTTAGTTTTTTAGCAGAAGTGTTGGTAAGGGATAGTGTTTCGGTGCCGTAGGTCATGCCCGATAAAACACATTGATCAAATACTTTCCTTTTCCAAACATATTGGAAGGTCACTTTTGAAAATGTCTCCAAGTTTGCCGTAGGCCGCCCAGGAGAGTATAATTCTTCTGTTTATCTCGCATGTTTGGTTGCCTTTGGACATGCTTATTTCGTGGCCTAAATATGTATATTTGTCTACCAGTTCTACCTCGGAGTTTTCAATAATTAGGTTGTTGCTAGGGACGAGGTTTGTCATAAATTTTGTTTTTCCGATGTTCATTTTTAGACCAGCTGTTGCACAGACCTCCTGAACTTCCTGCAGCATTACTCTGATATCTTCCAAGTTGTCAGTCAGTAAAACAATGTCGTCTGCAAACCCGTAAGTTTGATAGATTTTGGCCGTCTATGTTCAGACCTTTTTTGTCCCAGTCTAGTTTTTTAAACATATATTCTAAAACGGTGATAAACAGTTTTGGGGACATCGTATCTCCCTGTCGTACTCCTCTTCCAATTTTTATGGGATTCGTATTTTCATGTAAATTTACTATAAGGGTGGCACTTTTGTATATATTGTAAATGAGTTTAGTATATCGATAGTCAATACGGAATGCTTCTAGGGAGTTCAATACTGCGTCCCACTCCACAGTGTCCAAGGCTTTATGGAAGTCTACAAAAGCGAGAACCAGAGGTCTGTTGTATTTGATGGTTTTTTCAATCACTGTTTTCACGCTTTGGAGATGATCGTTGGTTTCAAACCCACTTCGGAAACCGGCTTGTTCTATGGGCTGGAAAAAATCTAGCTTCATTTCAAGTCGCGTGGTAATTATTCTAGTGAATAGCTTGTAAAGGTGACTAAGAAGACTTATAGGCCTGTAGTTTTCTAGGTTAGAAATATTGGTTAATTTAGTAGTGATCCACTGTTCAAAGCTATTAAGATCCGCTGAATTTATCAGGGAATTAGATTTTGTAACATTTTTTGTCGTTCTTTGCCAATGCCAATAGCTATTTTAGCTCGAACAAGTCTGTGGCCACTCCCAGTAGCAACCCTATTTAAGACAGTCACGTCCTTTACTATGTGTTTTTTATCTGTTATAATAAAATCTATTTCGTTCCTTGTTCTACCATCAGGACTTTTCCATATACATCTTCTAGTTGTTTTTTTGTAGAAGAAGCTATTCATTTGAAATAACTGATTTTGTAGTAGAAAACCAAACAACATTTCTCCTCGATCATTTCTTCCTTCTAAGCCGAAATCTCCAAGTGCTTCTTCACTCTGATTTATTTTTCTGCCCGTTTTGGCATTAAAATCACCGCATAGTAGACTAAAGTGCTCTGGGTGTTCGTTTAGAGCAGTGTTAATGTCCTCATAGAACAGGTCTATTTCCTTATCATCATGATCTGTTGTAGGCGCATATACTTGTATGATCTTAATATTTTACCTGGTATTGAGTTTTGGAATTAAGGAGATAACTCGTTTTGAAATTTTGTTTGATTTGTGTCGCCTGTGTATGAAAAATCCTGTTCCTCAAAATGAGCTCTCCTCTTCTCCCACGTGATAAAATATGTGCCCAGATTTGAGGTCTATGAGCTGTTCGCCTTTCCTTCTTACTTCACTTAGTCCGATAACGTCGTGTAACGTATGTGTTCCTACTCGCCTTCTAGTTCCATTAATCTTTCGTACGAGATTCTGAAAGTATTTTTCTACTCGTCTGGGGTACTTCAGTTTCTACATCTGGCATGATCATAGGGGGTATTTAGCCGTAAAACACCACGTTGGCTAGACGTCTTGGTGAGTTGAGTTTGGGAAGGAGGGAAGAAAACATTAGGTATGGATAGGAGCTAGGGTTAGAACAATGGTTTCCCCCGTATAGTATTGGAAGATAAACCAAGGCTCGCGTAGGCAGGGGCGCATCCCTGAAGTAGATCTATCACCTATCAGGGTCATAAGTGAGTATCTACTCGCTACCGCTACCGTTGAAAGATACAAACACAAAATTAATGATATTAATATTTTTGACCTTTTTGACATAATCATCGTAGTAGCTTTGAAAAAAATAGTAGTAGTAGTAGTAGTAGTTCTCTATTGTAGTATTGTGGTATTGTGGTCCGGCTTTTGCTCTCAAACAATATAGAGCCAAATATCCCCATAGGCGATTGCCAGGAAATAAAATCGCCAAAATATACCAGCAATTTCGAACAAATGGCATTGTTTTAGTGAAAAAATAGAAGCCGAAAGGTTTTGACTGAAAATATACAGTTAGATCTTCTTCTCCATTTTGAAAATAATCCAGAGACCTCCACCCGCCTTGCCTTGATATTTAAACTTATTAAGGCGCGAAATTCAACCACTTATACATAATAATTTTCCCCAACCCAAAGAGAGCATCCAAATTTAATTTGGCAGCAAGATGGCGCTCCTTGTCATCGAACTGCTGCAATCATTTGTTTTTTAAACGAAAATTCCAGAGAATACATTGGACAAAAACGAACTACCGGCCAGCGAGGAGTCCAGATCAGATTTGACCCCGATGGACTTTTTTTGTGGAGCACATTGAAAGATATGGTTTGCAAAGATAAACCGTCGGAAGTGCTGCAACGAGTTCGCGCGGTAATACACTATCTGAACGAAACGAATTACGTCTCAAATTCCATATACCATTTAGAAATAGCATATACTACTTGTATTCTTTAAAACGGCGGACATATCGAAAAACTTATTTAATTAATTTTACTTATAAGTAATCTGCGAAATTTGGCAACATTGTGCAAAGCTTAATATTCTGTTTTTAATATGACTTCTTATCAATACTCTAAAACGGTTGTGAACAAATTGATAAGGGGCTGATTCCCAGTTTTATATCTTAATAATTTAAATCTTATTCCCAGTTTTTCATTTAAGATCGAAAGGATACATATATATCGTTGAATTTGTTTTTGAAAGGACTATCTAAAAATGCAATAAAATTTAGGGTGTAATATTTTTAAAAAATGTAATTTTGCTTTACCACCCTGTTAATAACGATTAGGAAAATAAAAGAAAAAACATTTTTTTATTTAAATGACAACGGCATATGGCGAATCTCACCCTGGACGCCCCAGCACTTCAATAACTTATGAAAGCGTTGAAGTGAAATAAATGGTGTTGTAAAATCGTTGAATCACTATTAGAGAAAGGACTGAAGGACAATATTAAATTTGATAAATAAATTAATAAATACTTTTTGATAAAACTTAAAAGTCGCCATACTTTTTGAACACAGGTCGTATGTTGTTAAATGATATCGCCGAGGACTTTGACATGAGTCCCCTTCGCGATCGGTGTTTTTAAGAACGTAAACCAAAAGAACGAAAGCAACCTTATTACTCAATGAATAAAGTATATTTTTAAACGTTGCTGTTCCGTTAGTTATAAACGCTTTGATACTGTAAACTGCTGAGTAAAGGTTCCCATACATATTATATTACTTGTTTCTCAAAGTGTAAGCAATTTGTCTATATAAAACCACGGTGCGAACCACATCGCCAGCTTTTTTGTCATCTCGCTTGAATAAAGTTTTTTAAAAAAATCAAATTCGTTTTCCACGACCAAAACTGGCGCAGTCGGTAGGATTTCCGTGAAACAAGCATTCCAAAATCGACACTGTTTGATCTCTCTCAAGAGTTTATTCGCGAAATCCGAACAACACAAAAATCTGTTCAAGTGGGTGCAAAGTGCTCATATGGCCAGAGGAAGGAACAAGCATCGTCCACAACCCTATTGGTGCGAAATAAAGAACAAAAGTCGTCCGAATTTCATACGTAACCCAAGGAAGAGACAAGCATCGCTCATCCTATTGGAAAACTAGATTAAGAAACGAAACAACCAGAAATGAAAATCGTCGTTCTCTCACTGTTAATGTAAGTTTTTCTTTTGTAAATATTTTTCTGATTCAAACTAGAAAGATTAATTTCTCGTTTTGAAACATTAGAGTTAAAACCTAGAGTAGCTTCTGTCGATAATTTTAATACATCATCTGATTCCGATTCCGATTCTGACATTAATTTAAACACATTGCCGGATACGGTGAATCTTCAATTAGTTAGGTACCAAGCGG